AACAAAATAATAATTTTTTTTTCAAAAACTTTAGATTTGGCATGATGCTTTCAACAAACAGTTTTAAAATGATCTCATTTCCAGATAATTAGTTGCACGTATATGCTCCAAATAGATTCTAATCTTGCTTGGTTGACTCTGTATTTGCATATGCTTCCTTGGGTTTTCCTCATGTTTTTAGCTTTGGGTCTCGCCATTATTCTATGAATTAGATACATGTCCCTTTGTGAAAATTAATTTTAAGTCCATATTTGTACACTTAAATATGGACTTTAATATTTATTTTGACTTAAAATACAAAAGCAGCTTTTTTTCCCCTGAATAACAGAGCTGTTCCCTGTGATATTGCAAAGAAAAAAAAAGGTGATTAGTCCAGAATTTGCTTAATAATTACTGGAAAATTAAGCTCTATTGATGTTCGGAAATGAAAGCTCAACTGAATCCAATGAATAAATAATTGCTTTCATCAAATCAGACATTAACAAACAGCCCACACTTAAACACCCACACTGGATTTCTTCCTCTACAGCTGCCTAATATCCTCCCACCCCCTCTTATACACGCCCGGCCACTTAGACAATTACAGAGTCTGCCTGTTTTGCCTTGAGAACTTTTGTCAGTTTATGAGGTAGATAGTGCACTTAGGAAGAAACAATTGCCTGTCCCCATGGGACAGCAGGGTAAAAAATAAAATCTCCATAAAATGTTTTGTTACATAAAACAGGTATAACAAGGATTTTGTATAAAGACTGCCATGGTCTCAAAAAGTTCAGTTTGATGAATTTTGAAAGTGTTATAAAGTATTCAAACATGCATGGCAAGACTCAGTGACCTTTTGGTTGTGCTTAGGAAGTTCAGTAACTCACGAAGCATTTGGAATTGTAAGGTTTGTATACGTAAAGCTTCTCCGGGATAAACAACATTATCTGTATGAGGAGCTACGTTGAATTTTCTTCCTGCACAATTAAAACTGAACTCAAAGTTGTATTTCATTAGATTAAAGCTGAATCTGTTTCTTAAGAAAGAATTGTGATGCAATCAATTATGATTTACAAATTTCTCATCCTGATGTTACTGGTTTTTATGTTTAATTTTGTATTTCTTTTATGTGACCAAAAACCCACCGAGCGACATATATTACAAATCAGCTTAATCTATAAATGTTGAAATCTAGGCACACTTAGCACTAGTCCGAGTACAAATAATACATTTTAAAAAGGTCAACAAGTATGAAAAGATTTGCAAAGCACTGTTTTAGCCCACTCACACAGTAGCACTCAAAAAGTGTGTAAAAACATCTGGGAGGGAAAAATTCAGTCTTGACGTTTGTTCTACAGAGGATTGTTTTTGTTTGTTTTGTTTTGTTTCTTATGATGAATGATAATGAAAAATAACTTCCATCAGCGTCAGGCCATCATGTGCCCCCGAGATCCAGTTTGATGTCTTGTTCAAACAAAAAGACACAAACCCCCCACAGAATAAAGAACAAAGGCATGAAACACTTTTCCATATAAATGTGGAGTGGAAAGAACTCTAAAACCAGAGCAAGAGTGAACAGATGTGCCCAACATGGAGATGACACCATGTTGTTGGCTTTACAAAAATGCCACATGTGTCTGATTCCGGGGACATGTAAAACATCCATCTTCGTCCGAGCAGCAAAGAGGAAAAGATCTGTGGTGCTGAAGCTGTTGGTTCTGTTGTAATTTTCTTTTTTGGGTGCTTAATTGTCGGCAGCGCCACTCCTCCTGCTACCTTCTGTGGCTTTTTGGGGACAGATGGAACATGTCAGGCGAAGAGGAAGAAACCCAGATGTCAAAAGCACAAATGAAAACATAAGACATCATCTTAAAGGAACTCATACTGAGGGATGCATGGAAAGTTTTTTTAGTTCTTCTCTAGTATTTCTTCTCAGCCTTATATGTTGTGCAAGAGGTTGATTTAAAGGGACAAAAACATGTGGATAAAGTACTTCTATTCTACTTGGTACCTGTCATCTTTTTTAAACAATCCAAGATTGTATTCTTGACATGTAGCCTAGCTTCTCCAAGTTTTAACATTAAAGAAAGAAAACAGGCCTTGTCAAAAGTGGCATTAAATTGGAAGATTCTTTCACAGCATTGGCCGCAGGCCTGACATTAAACTCAAGTTCCCATCATGCATTTTAGAGTCTAAGAATCTGAAAGCTTGAGGTTAACCGACCAAAGACACATGAAAAAACAGAGGCAGGAATAACTGCTGTTGAGGTGGCAAAGTAAATGTATCATACACTTCAATGTGAAAATGAAGATAGGAAACAAAAAATGGGGCAGGTCGAAGTGCGGCTGATAAGCAGGAAGACCCAAGGTAGCTTGACCTTTTGAAGGAAACCTTGTACGATGATTGGCTGGAGCGGCGCGGTGTGGCGCTCCGGTCCTGGTTGGATTCGGCGGAAGCACGGTGATTGTATGATGTGGATAAGCTGGGAAGAGTCTCCCAGCTTGAATTTTCACCTAGGCTCCATGTGTTCCAACAAATGAACAAAATTTGAGTTTATGTACATTAACTTTTGACCACAAAACAGCTTTGAAAGAAAAAGGAGAAAACAAGGAAAACTCGTGGTTTTTGGTTTTTCACAACTGGTTTTTGTTGCGGTCATCATCTTAACGTCTTAACTAACTTGTGACAGAAAGCTATGGCCTGGTGATTCTGTTTTTCATGTTACCATATTGTTTCCTTACTGGTAGCAGTCAAAACAGTTCAAGGAGAAGTTGTGATAAATATCTGAATATGTTCAGAACTCGGTTTTAAACATATATGTTTCTTCATACTATATGTGGCTGTAATGAGTCTAGCTTTGTTTCAATGAAAGACTTCAGTGGTTTAATTCAGCTAGAGGGAAGGCATTAGAAAGGTTAACATTTTGTAGGATTAGACCATATAGTCTTGATGACCTGACCTATATTTCAAGAGTCAGGAAACTTTTCAGGCCTATACCAGCTGCACAAGCAGTTCAGGCAGGTTTTGCTGCCTATTGATTCTGATCCAATATGATCTGGTGTTAATTCCCCGTTGAAAGCCACCCAGTCAGTCCAGTGATTTCTGAAAACCACAAGGTTTACATGAACAAGCTCTGCTCCCGAGAAGAGCCCAGGAACTAGGCCGATAATAACAGACCTCTGGGAAAAAAACAGAAGAGAGGTTTTGACCAAAAGTGAGGGTAGGGAAGAGAGACTCACCCCTTCCACCCTGTCGTTTTCCTTTCCTGCAGGCTTTGGGAGAATGCTGAACATGCTTCATGTGCAGCTATGTAGTATTAATTACACCCTACATTTCTGATGGCCAGGGTCATGTAACCTGCTGTCTATTTATCCTACAGGTCATTTGCAACATTGGGCCTGGTTTCAGGGCCAAGAGAGGAAGCAAGGAACGAAATCTAAGATGAAGGAGCTAAATTGGTAGCAAATGTAAAGCTTCCAATTCCAAACTGCCCACTGGCCTTAATGTGTTTCTCAAGCACTACTCACTGTAGTCCAATATGCGCCTACTGGTTGCCTCTGAAATAATATTTCAACAGTGTTTGCAGACGTTAAACCGGCGCCATCTCTCAACCTGGGTTATTCCCACTAAAGTGCTGGATAAGGGATTTTGATCTTTTTCTTTTTCTTTTTTTTCTTGTGGGGGTGGGAGATATTATGTCTTAATGGTGATCAGAAAGTGAAGCAAGACTTATAACTCAAAAGCTACAGTTTTGACTTCTGCCTAGGTAATTTCTGATGGTGTGCAAATGTGGGGGAAAAAAAATCCACAAAGTTAAAAAGTCTAAGTCTTTGAAACCATTAAACAAGGTATTTTTGTTATACAAAACAAACTGAAAATACACCTATTGACAATGAGAAACCATTTATGAGTACATTAGTGTTTCAGGTAAGTCATATTTGAAGAACATATTTTCTTAATGTTTGAGATCAATGCCTTAAGGATGTTTTTGTTGGGGATGAGTTGCCATTCTTCTGCAGCTGAACCCTAAGTGATGAGTTTGACCATCTCATTTCCATTTAAATGGCTCAATGGAGTCCCATTTGCTCTCTGCTTTCCTGCAGCCAAAAGGCTCAATAAAAACCAATGAGCTGATGCAAACAGGAAAGCCTAGTTGTTTTCTTATACAAACAGCATATGGTTTTCTCAATGTGGCTGCACATGGTAGCACTGCTTCAACTTCATTTTCCTGCCTCCATCAAGTTTGTCCTCTGGCCATCTGCACTGTTAAAGTTGCTTCGAAGTTTGGTTTTTTTGCTAAGGGTTTTTTTGTCAACACTTCAAAAACTTTGTTCAGTAGTCAATGACAACATTAATCCAGAGTTTGTTGTTATTTTAATGGTACATTTCAAGTTTGCGTCTATAGTTAATTTCTTTTGAAGATTGCCAAGTGGAAGTAGAAGATATGTTTCAAATTGCATGTCTGTTATTGAAGCATCCTCCTTTGGAAGTAAATATTATGTCAGGGAACATTTATGTTAATGTTCCGTAAGCAAACAGTCTTATTTCTCTAAAACAAACTCCTGTAAAACAGTTAATTATTTTTTTTCCCATTGGTTTATCTCTACTGAACACTAAAAGAAGAAACTGGTTTTTGAATTTTTCTAATGTTGATATTTAGATATTTAGTATCAGTACTGCAGTTTACAATTAAATTATTCTATTGAGTAGACAAAAAAACAGCAAAAACTAGTAAGTAACAAAATTCATAATTTAATTTATAACAAAATGTTATTAAATATTTATTCCAAATATTTAATTACAGAAAACAAACTCACAAATCGAAAATAATGCCTGCTTGAAAAGATAATCAACCCTCTCACTTAGCTGACAGTTATTTCACTTGATGATGTCTAAGTACAGTGAAAGGCTGCCTAATATTTTCAAAACATACCTTCCTCAAACTTCAGAAATTCCTCTTAGTTTAAAAAATGCCAACAAACTGCCACACAACACAACTGCCTCATTCTAAGTGTGTTTCAAACATGTCAAATAATGCAACTGTTCAGTTGAATAAAATAGAAAGGTTTGTGTTCAAAATATGACACTAACATGAAGTCCTGAAATTTATGGTAAGTTGTGAAATACTTAAAAACTTTCTAGATGTATATATTACATGATATTTTACAGTTATTAACCTCTTGGTGTTGAATGACTGAAGTCTGAGGAAAAAATTTAAACTGCTCTGGAGCAGGAAAACTATTTTATGTAAAGGGTATGTACAGGTGCAAAATATGTGTATGGACTACACACATCATAGATTACTGATGGCTCGATTGTCTTTAACACATTAAAGGTGCTTTTGATTTCAGAAAAAAGATATGGATGCATATTATGTTTCGTCAGCCTTGCACTTTGCTGCAGTTTTTTGAGGAAGTATCCCCTTCCCCAAGACAAAGTGAACTTAACAATCTATTTATAAATTTGGTTCATGCAGCCCATATCATAAAAAGCCCAATAGTTTTCAGGTAGAACTTTGAGAGTAAATCTACAGTTTTTTCTGTGGTTTGCTGAGATTAGGGGAATACAATGGTGCAGATAAGGTATAAAGGTGAAGTTCAACAAACAATAGGCTTTTGATGAAACCATAAAACTTTATCTTCCATCATACAAAACCACCTATACCTAAAATGGTAGACTACTACGCTAAAATGTAAAGATCCATGTTAGAAAACTGCAAATGAAACAACTTGGCATTGACACCAGAAATGTTGTAAACTCACATGTTACTTGTAGATACGACCTTCAAAATTATTTCAGTAAATCCAACAGGATCTGTCAGGCTGCCCCAGGGCAACTCAGGCTATAATGCAGCTTTCCACCATCATTGTGTGAGTGTGTGCATGAATGGGTGAGTGACTGGAAAGTGCTAAGTGCTTTGGAATCTTCAAAGCACTCTGAACTAGATAAAGCTCTTTACAAGCTCAGGCCATTTAAGATTTAATTAATATTACACATTGGGCCCTGTCATATAAATCCAATAAAAAAAAAATCTATTTCACTTTCTCTTCATTTACGCCACTTCTGCATACTACAAAAGCCCATTGAGAAATATCTCTGATCTATGGTTGCTGGAATCTGATGTTTGTTGTTTCTCAGTCCAACTTCCTCCTGGCATCTCTCTCTATCCGCCCTGATGAGTTAGTGACAATGCAAGCTTTTGCCATTTTAGTAGAAGAAATGTCATTTTATTCATTACGGTCATTTGCACATGTTTTGAAGTTTCTACAGTTGAACAAGTGCTAGTTCTGTTAATTGGATAAAACCAAGGCTTTAGAAGTGTATGTATGTAGTTTGGCCTCAGGCTCACAATGCAAGGTCATTTTCTCAGACTCATTATTGGCAAATTAAATTGTGTGATGAGTGTCTTCTCTCTAGGTTTTTGACAGAAAAGTTTGTGTGTAAATTAAATACAAAGGCTCTTCGTATTCATTAAAATCCTTCCAAACATTTGTTGTAGTTAGATTGATGTTTGACACAGAGGCCTCTTCCATTATGGAGACAAGCCAAAGCAGCAAGGCTGCCCATTCATGATTGTTTGGCAAGTTAAACAAGAGTTGGAAAGTTTATTACAACTTTTGTGGATTTGTCTGTTTGATGGCTTCCATTGCACATTAACAGGAGAAATGATGGTTTTAATCTCTGGTGATAAATTCAGCACCAAAATCACCACTAGGGGGCCACAGAATACGTAGAATGTGAGCCATTTCCATATTCTAAGATGCAATCCAATCATCTACTGTAGATATTTTATTTAATCAATATTTTCTCTAATTTTATTCATTATCTTGGGGTTCAGAGCCAGATGATATTGCATAGCATCACATATGACACTTGTTAGGGGAAATTCTGCTTCCTGTTATGCTTGTTTAGAAATATTTACCCAAACTAGGATATTTTTGTCTAACTAAACAAAGACAATGACGGAGATTTGAGAAATCATCAATTAAATTTCTCACGTCATAGTATTCAGCCCTTACAATGAAGTGCGTTGCTGCCCTCTGCCTGACATATATATGCTACACATGCTCTCCTAAAGTAAAAAGATGAATAGGATTTAAAACAGTAGATTTTTTTTTAAATAGTGGGAGGAGTATTATTTTCATCTGGTTGAGTTTTTTTTTTTTTGAAGGGATACAGGAAATGGGAATTTTATTTATGTTATAAATTACTAAATGGAAAAGATTATATTACTTCATCATAATGCTTTTCAGACTCAGTCACCGAACAAGTTATTTATTTACTCATATTTGAGTATGTATATTTGGTAGCAAGGTATTATATTTACACTTAGAAAAATGAAGGTCTTCGTTTTGTTTTGTTGGTGAAATGTCTGTCTGAAATAACATCATCATCATAAAATTATCAAAGGGAAAGCACACAGATGTATAAGGAGTCACCTATGAAAGAATCTGAGAGTAAAATTAATAGTAAATATTACTGAATCACAAACAGAATCAGTAATGGGAAAAAAAAAGTAGAAGCAGGCAATTGGAGCAAGAGCATCTGTACTGTGGCACCAACACCTGTCAGGGATTTATTTTGATTATAAACCAAACTTCTAGACTAAAAAAAAAGGTGTCTTTCCAATACTGACATAGTATAGCTACCAAGCACTAATAAGTCATAGTTATGATCTGAATTCACTATCTATACCACAAAGTCACGGTAATATAAAACCTAAGGAGTTTCGTTTACATTTGATCTTTTAATACAGCCTGAAAAACATAAAAGGAGATAAAACCAACATTTGCACAGCCATTAATCTTTATGACATGTAAAATCAGTGCACATATGATGGAGTACATCTGATGAAATTCTAATTATTGTGCATAAATACGGCAAATGACGATAGGTCTGGGAAAGGAAGGCAAAACTTTATCACAGCATGTGGTGCGTCTTGTACCTGCTATTGAGAATGCAGAGCGCCAACAAATAATGCTGTCATAATGTCACCATCTAAAGACGCAGCAGTGTATGGACACACGTTATAAAAAAGGTGATTCAAACTATTTACACCACAGTCATAAGACACAATATACATGATCTGCTTCATTAACGTCAGACATCTTGAGGCTACGGATTGGTGGTTCAGTCACTTTCTGATGATTCACTAGCTGATGAAGAAGAGGATGACGACTTGTGTTTTCTCTTTCTCTCTTTCTTTTTGTGATGTTTCCCATGCTCCTTTTTGGGTTTTTTGCTTTTCTTCTTGTGACTTTGTTTCTTTTTCTTTCTCCTGTCTTCCTCATCAGACGAGGAGCCGGATCTGCTGTGTTTCTTTCTCTTTTTTGGTTCTTCATCACTGGATGATGCAGATCTAAGTGAAAATGAAAAAAATTGAGACAAAAGGAACATGGAAAAGTGACAGCTTAATTATTGGTCAGGTTCTGTATGTACTCCAAACTTACAAACTGCACTCTTTTCACATCAAATCAAGTTAAGATTTTATGCTCACTGAAACTGAAATTTGTTTTTTAGACTAACCTTTTTCTTGATTTTCTATCTTTGCTCTTCTTTCGTTTACGTCTCTTTTTTCTGTCATCTTCATCACAGGAATCTGAAACATAAACATAGAAAGAAAAGATTAGTGTTTGAAAAAAAACTTCTTAAACTTAAACTTCTTATTACAGTAACAGAGCACATGTATTTCAGAAGGACATGTTACTATTAGGAGCATTTACATATAAGCCTCACTGTAACTCCTGTTCTGAACAAGGCTGAATATGGTTGTAACATAGCAAAAAGTGGAAGATGGGAAAGGCCAGATGCAATATAAATAACTAAACTTTCCAATAGAGCACAATTGCGCTTTCATGTTTGTGATTCAATAATAAACACACAAGACACAAATAAATATGTAATTTGCAATGATGACAGTAACAGTGCAATGTATTTGCATAGTTTTCTGAACATTATCTGTATGACTTTGTACTTAAAAAGTGCTTGACATGGAAGCCGACCTTTTTGGCGCAGCACACTTCGACCCGATTTCTCAGTGTGCTGAGAAACAGGCACGTCGTCTTCACTCTCCTCGCTGCTGGTGCTGCTTACATCCAGAACAATGTCCTTCTGGGGGTCAACTCGGACAAAATTTCGACACTCGAATGTTAAATGGCCGGCTGCAAAACAGATTAAAAGAAAGCATTAGGATAAAGGAACCACTGGCATCAGAACTTAGAATGGCATTACATCCAACTTAACTATATATAGCCACCGTGATGAAGTCGCACACAACTCTTAATATTGTCACTGAGATTGACCCATATGAAAACTGTTCACACTTGTAATGTTTCCAAAAGATCAAAAAACAAAACTTATCCCTTGCCTTCTCCCAATGCTCTAAACAAGAGTGGCAATCAAGTGAGTATACAACTTGCACAATTCGACTTCACTCCAACTTCACAAAGAACAAAACCCCATATAAGCAAAACTGCATTGTAATTAGTGCAGGAAACTTTACTTACGGTATCCACATTTCTTACACCCAGCTCTGATGTTGTCTTTATTAGGGCCTGAAAGACAACAAAAACAAAAAAGTGAAAGAATTAAATACAGACCAGTGAGCCTCATCGTACTTAATAAAGATATTTTTTATAACACATCCGTTGACTGACCTTCAACAGTGGTAGAAAAGATAGAAAAGATCATTTTGCCTTAGAACCCCTAAACCCCTGCTAAAATTGTACCATTTGTTAATTCATAAAACTGTACAAACATCAAACAGTGCCTTCTGCTTACACGAAAAATAAGGTCTCATCTCCGGTAGAAATTACTTCGCTATTTAGTATTTAATATTAATACGGAGACATCGTCCGCTTAGCACTACTTTAATTGTAATCTTATTGTCCGAGCCTTTGCTTCACATTACTCCGATAATAGTAGCCAAGAAACAGCAGAAATAAGACACATACCAGGGAGCGCCATTACAGCTTATGGAAGAAAGTCAATACGGTCCAGAAATTAATGATGTTTAAGCGCGAAGCAAACTGTCGACGAGTCCGAAGGCAAAATACCGTCGGCCGGAAACATTTGTTCTCGAAACTACTAGGTTCCTCTGTCTTCTTCTTGGCTTTGCATGTTGGAAGCTTACAATATTGTGCAAAGCCGCCACCTTCTGGTCTGTGTTGAAAATGCGACGACAGTCTACACCAGGGGTGTCAAACTCAAATACACAGTGGGCCAAAACTTTAAATTGAACAAAGTCGCGGGCCAAGGTTGAACAAATGAATCTTTTAATATGGACCCAAACAAGTTCTAATATAACAATAAATATTGAACAAGCAAAGCTTATCTAACTTAAAAGTGCAGGTGTGCAAAATTGAGTTGCTAATAATAATAAAACATTATTATATTAAATAAAACATATTTAATATATGAAATGAAATATTAAATATATCAAATAAAATTTAAATAAACATTTAATGCCTCCTTTCTGATGTAAATGTTTAATATTAATTTGAAATTGCCTCGCGGGCCAAATATAATTACACTGCGGGCCAAATTTGGCCCATGGGCCAGAGTTTGACACCTATGGTCTACACGTACTTTACGGAGCATGGTTTGTAATCTTTGCCTGTTTTTAAAATAAATAAATAAATGAGATTAGATGAGAAACCTTTGACTTTCCAAATTAAAACGTTAGCTTCTAGGTTATAATGGTTACATGGTTACAACATTCTGTTGGAATTTTATTTTAAAATGTCAGGGTTTGGGTATTTGGAAAACTTGAAATGAGGTTGGACTTGTTAGTGTTCTGGAAGTTTATTTCCAGAACACTTTCATGTCTTAGTAATGAAACAAACCTCTATCCACTGGGAAGCCAAAGTTGCTGCTATAATTTGTGCAGCAAACAGTGACAGTTTATTTGTAGTTCTTGTTGAAGAGATTATACCAAGTTTGGGAACTAAATATGCTTCTGACATTTACATGTTAATGCTTTCACTGGGTCATATGTAATACTTGTAGATAATTTAGTACTCACTAAAATATCTTCCAACCAATTAAAAGAACTAAATCTGCATTTGGTTAAGTCAAAATACCTGGTGGCCTTTTTTTAATCGAAACTTTAAAAAAAAATCATTCATAGTACTTTATCAAGACAAAAATAACCTGTATGTTATTTATTCTCCTGTAATTCTTTTAGTGACTTACAAATGTTTGAAACTGTGCAGGCAACCTAAAACTAACAATGTAGGTCAAAGTGCTGAGTTAATGTTCTGGGCCAGATGAGCATTTTAGAGTGCCAGATGAACAGTGGTTGGCACCAGAGCTATGTGCCAAAGACTTTAAACGTCAGATAAATAGTATTTGTTTTACTATCCCCAAACACTCTAAACAATAAAGTAAAATTTTTAGCAATCAATGCACCTTCTCATGATTGATTTTCCAGCAGAGCCCAGTTGTGGTTTTTTTTGTCAAGGGTTAATCGACGACAGCCAGTCTGGCAAATGGAAAATGCTGACAGATGTGGGGCCCCGAGACATACTCTCATCATTATGTCTGTGGCTGTGACACATATGACATACACACACACTCATGCAATCTAAATCCTAATCTTCTGATGATGCCACGTCTTTGCAAATTCTAAAAATAATACTTAATTTAAATTGCAAGAAAATATTAAATTATTACTCTGTATACATTTTTGGACTCTTAAGTTGATTCCTATCTCCCAGTTCAGCTAAGACACATCAGTTACAATTCATCTCATCGTTTGCTTGCGGACTTCAATTTCTCCGTTTTTCAAATCCTTGAAGAAAGTTGTATTTGACATTTTAGTACCTTTCTAGTTCTTTCATCTTAAGGCCTTTGAATGCCACACATATATGTTACTCCACTTTTTCAGTTTGAAATAGAGTGCTTAATTTGGTTGATTCTTAAATTTAAATAAAAAATTGTTTTGTGATACTTGAGTAAAGTGTAGTTTAAGTGCAGCACACCTTTCAACATTCACGTCAATTTTAATCTCACATCATATATTCTGTACAGACATTTATGAAACAAAACTGCGACACAGTTCAAAAGTACATACATTATCTACTGGTTTATGGCCTCAGATGAGAGGTTAAAGCAGCAACCATTACTCAGAAACATACAAATTTCTGAGTAATGGTTTTGTTTGTGTGGAGCTGTGAGTTGATAGTATGTAGCCAATTCATTCAATTTGTCTTGCTGGAAACTGCAAAGACCTTTCGCAAGGCATTGCAAACTATTTCAGGTTAAAGTCCTACAAGTCCTATAAAGTTCATAAATGTTTTACATTTGAAGAAATTTATGTCTGAAAGGAAATATGGTACTGCTTAATAAGAATTATGTTCAGTCTAATATGGGTGTTCTCAATCGTTCAAGCACAATAAACAACATTTCACAGAATTTCTTTTGTAATGTCGAGGTATTCAGTAAAATGAATATACAGTTGATACTTCAATAAAAGCCAGACTCTTTTACACATTAGGTATCAAACCAGCAGGTGACAGTGTTCCCAAGAAGGTAGTTATGCATATGCTGCTCCATTTCAATAATAAAAATAATAATAAAAAAACTCTAAAAAGAAAATGGTAATTTAAAATATATGACAGGATTATAGCACTTTGACTTCATTTGAAAAACCTTTAAGAAATGTAGTATGACTTTCAGGTGGTTAAGACAGACCGGTGTGGGAGATCGATCTTTTCACAGATTATCAGTCTCATAATATTCTGTCACAACACTTTGGCAGTTTAAGTGAAAATTTAAAACACGTATTCTTTATGAAAGTGACATATTGCAGCTTTAATGCCACATTTAAAAGTCCTATTTCCTGAAACTTTTAACAAGTACTGCAACTTAGATTTCTTTTTTTAAATCTGAAAGTATATCAAAACAATGTCTTATTTCAAATCTAATTTCTCAACAGGATGCATTAAATGTATCACATCAACCTTTCACTAATTGCCTTCGATAAAGGCATTTTGTAAACACATGATGTAAAATATAGCATTGAAATAATGTGTACACTTTTCCCCCCCAAAAAAACAAAAATCAGTTTATAATGTATTCCAAGTATGGGAACCGACATTCTGATTTATAATTCACATCTCTGGCACAAAGATACAGCTGCAAACTGTGGCTATACATAATTGGCCTGGTGGTTCCTCAAATCCCTTTTTCCCCCAACCAGAATGTTCTTGTTGCCTAGTTTTATGTTACCAAGGAAGTGCCTGGAGAGCTGGACTATGCGCGGCAAAATGATTAAGTATGACAGGGTTCCTTTCACTGACACAAGACGAATTCAAGTACTTTGCCTGTTAAGCTTTATTTAATTCCAGAAATGTTTGGAGCTCCAAAATTAAAATTTATTTATCCTGTTGGAGAAATGTAAGAGTGAGTTAAATTGATTGGTGATCTGTCCAGTGGTTTTTTACCCAAAAGGATTTATCTGACAGTAATAAATTATCTAAACATAAATATTAAAATTCATTTTTGGCTAGCGGCTAACAGTGGAACAGTTTTGTGTTCACGCAAATTGACTAACTCAAGGATAAACCCATATTGTTTCTAAATAAGAAATGCCTACACTTCTTTTTGTCTTTGACACACATATTGCTTTGAGGCATAAAGGTAAATCAAGGGTGCTGCTGAATTTCTTACAAAGATTACAAAAGTTGATGGCATCTATTTCAAAGAAAGATTAGATTTTAATTTATTCATCCTGAAACAGTCAAAGTGGTTTAGTGAAGAAGAGAAATTCTAAAATTCTCCCTAAAAGTCCTAAACTATAATGTTCACTATCACAAACAAGATGATAGAGGGTGCAGGAAACCTTTGGTTAATGCTACATTACACACAGGTCATCAATAAAGTCAGCAGTTCACTTAATTAGAAACATCTCCATATTTCTATGGGTGGTCCATTGTGGTTCTAGAAAAATGTCCATGGTATGTCTAAGCGGTAATCCATATGTGAGTGTTACCTAAAAGCTCAGTTTGGAATACGAAATGAACAGCTCTGTTGTAGTTGAGTGAAGTAGCCTGTCCGTCTCACAGCACCTCCACCACATTCCCTGCTAGCACTCTTTCTGGTCAGCACCTGGAGACTGCAGAGGATGTTTTTGGACAGAAGCTTGGCTGGATAAATAAACCTATGTCTGACCTCAAGCGCCAGTCACAGAGTTTTCTAACCTCACGCCCTGACACGGTGTTCCCACATCAGGCCTGGGTGGTCATTAAGGAAAGAAAAACCTTTTGGATTATTTCAAACTGAGGAGAAGCACAAGAAATGAGGAAAAGAGAAAGACAGGATTGGGCTTTCAATTTATTATGACTCATCCTTTTTATTTTTCATGTTCCTTCAAGATAACTGACAACTTCTATGTGAATGTTTTTTTTCCTAATTTGTCTGTGACAGTGGTTTCTTTGATGTATTACCATAATAGGCAAATAGCAACATTAGATGTTTATTCTGTCTACAAGGTATTTGAGACCTAAAACAAATCCCTCATTTGATTCTTGTGTTTTCAAGGACTTCTCTGGGCTTGAGGGGTAGATGCATTTTGCACTGAAACTGTCCATAAATCCACAGCTGGGAGCCTGATTGATGTTCATGTGCAAAGAGTCTGAGCAGGAAACTGTTTGCCTGGTGTCAGTCTGAGTGGTTTTGTAGCTGTGTTGCAAAAACTTTCAATAAATTAAGCTACTTGGAGACCAACCAGGTTTTGACGTGATTCAGCCTCAGTACCTTTTTTTAAAAAATAATTCCTAATAATAACCCATATGAGTGCATGTGGAACATAAATGGCTGAGTAACAACATTTTCTACCAGACCCTTAAACCATGCAGAATGTACCCATGTGCTGCCTCTGTGATAATGAACCAATATTAGTTTTGCACATTCTCCAAACTGGTATTGGTTTTAAGATTGTTTGAGAATTGTTGAGACATTTGTGCTCTTTCAAGTCCAGTGGAGAGTGCGCTGTGTTCAGAGTAGAAAATATCTCCAAAAGCCTTAATGATCCCAATCCTTGTGCCTTTTAGATTTATTGTTATACCTCCTTTTAATTTTCTATGATTGTGT